TAATTAACTCTATGATCTTCAAGGACTCGTCAATTTAAGTATAAATGAAAATAAGAATTGAGCACAACTTAGATAGACATTTTGTAATCTTTAAATTCAAATATTTATATATATTATGTTGTAAAATATTAAAATGTGAATTTAAAATTCTAAACAACTACTAATTATTAAATAAGCTATTAATTATTAAATTTCTTGAAGAAATAATTTAGTTTACATGTTAAACCTAAACCTTAAGTATAAATACGAAAATATAGTCCAAAATAGGGATGTCAATTTTTACCGCCCCGCCGGGGCCCCGCCCCGTTAATAACGGATATGGGAACACTTGTTATACCGTTGAGGCGGACATGGATACAAATTTTGTACCTGTCGAGGGTCACGGGGCGGGTAAGGGTTCAATATACATATCCTAAGGGCCCCGCCCCGCATATAACTATATTTAATATATATATATATATATATATATATATATATTAATAAGTTATTTTAGCGGCTTACCCAATTACCCATCTCTTATAATCCTAATTTGGGATGTAAACTTGGTATTAAATTTGCTTTTTTTTTTTTTGTTATGGTGGAAGTTGGAACTTAAGACTTCTTGTGATTTGGTTGTATTAAACTTTTATTTTTGTTTATTATGTTCTCTGAATTATGTTATGTGCATGTTATTTTTTTTTTATTATTAGGATACATAATTTTATTTATGTTGTGTCATTCATAGGCTTTGCACATTTAAATAGCAGGAATTTAAGTTCTAAAAAGTGGGAGAAAAAGATTTGTTAGTGGGGGGGCACAGTATTTTCTAACGGAGCGGGGTTGGATATGAAAATCCAACCCGTTGCGGGTCTCGGGACGGGCATAGACTTAACAAAAATTAAAAGGGGTGGGGCGGGATTTAGAGAAACCCGCTCCAAACCCGCCCCGTTGCCACCCTAGTCCAAACGCCTCATTTCCAAACACACTGAATCGTCATTCTCTCTTTCATTACCAAAAACACTTCCGCCGTCTGCTGTCGAGCCTGTCCTCGCCGTCGTCTGGCCTTGCCGTCTACTGTCCTCATCGTTCTCTGTCATCATCCGTCTTCTCCGTCTGCTGGTATGAAGATTCACTGCTCGTCTCATTCTTTCTTTCCCTTTCTATCTGTCTTCATCGCTTGAGATACTATATACAATCGATTATACTATATACATGACTATGAATTTTATAATTGAAGATCCCCTTTTCAAGTTCATGACGAAGGTTTGATGTTGAAGACCCTTAGAATATGTTTCATGTTATTGGTCACTTTTTGTTTTCAAGTGATTTAATTTTGAGGGTTTGATGATTTTATCAATAGAAACCTTTGATTTATCATTCTTGCACTCATACGCATCCATATAGAAGATTTGAGTATATATGAAAAGCTTCCTGTAGGTTGGATTTACTTGCTTAAAAACTCAAATTGTTCATTAGGGCCCTTTGATGCTATGAATTACTTGAGATAATCACCTGTACCCAATTTATTGATTTGGTTTATGTGATTGTAGGCCTCGTAAAAGAAAAGTTGCTTACAGTTATCTTTTGATTTTGTTCATACATTTAACTAATATTAGTTTGTTGAATTTGAATATTACTTTTAATAAAATTAGGTTTAGCCCTCCCCAAACTTTTAATTCTAAACTTCTATTATTACAAGTGTTGTAAGTTTTTTTTTTTTTCCAAGTGTTGTAACTTCACACTTGCTCAGTTGTTCTTACTTCTTATAAAACAGGTAGTGTTTACCTTTCAGATTTTTTTTTTTTTTTTTTTTTTTTTTTTTTGTGGAATACTAATTAATTTTGAGAAGTAAATTTTTTTAAAAAAAAATTTAACGAGACGAGCTCTAGCTGAGCCCGAGCAGACACAAGCTTGGCTCGGTTCATTTGCAGCCCTAGTGATGGTGAGGATAGCTACTAATTAAAATCCATATATAACTAGCAACTGCTGGCTTGCACCATCCAATTGGTGCAATTGTTGAGCTCCAAGCCTCAAATCTTTCAAAAAAGAAAAAAAGCCTCACCCCCACCAATAGCACCACCAGGCCCTGCAGGCTGTGCTGGTTGTGTCATGCGTGTCATTCTTAGAGATGTATTAATAATATAAAATAAAAAATGTACTATTAGTCTATTGGACCTCAATTATTAACGCTAAAAAAAAATTAAACAAAAGTGAAAAGAGTTCTCAACTATAGGCCTTACAATTTAAGTGCTCAAAAATTAGTTTTTATTTTTATTTTTTTATTTTTAAAGTCATTATGTAATTTGCAATTGGACTCAAATCATAAAACTCTCCTCTTATTTTTAAAAATTATCAACTAACCCCCTTAACTAAAAAAATTATCTTATATATTACTCTTTAATATTTTAAAAAGTCTATCATATCACCCCCTCCCCGTTAGTTTCTCATCTAAAACTAATGGGATTGTATCACGTGCAACAGGTGCATCATTTTGCTGACCAAAATAATCTTATAATTTGTAATGACAAAATTGTCATTCTCACACTCTAATTTCAATTTAATAAAATATTAATATACTATCAAGGGCATTATTATCATTTCACAACAACTTAACGGTTCCGTCACAGAAAGGGGGAAACGTGATAGTTTTTGCTAGTTAAGGGGTTGTTTGATAATTGAGGGAGGTTATATGATGTTTTTGGTAACAAGAGGTGAGTTTCATGATTTTAGCTCTTGGCAATTTTATCTAACAATACCAAAGAATCATTTTCTAATTATTTTAAATTAAATTAAAGGCAGTATTCCTCACCTTCTAAAGTAGAAGGTCGAAGGTTCAATTTCAAGTTGGTGTGTGAGTGTGTTTCTAACTATATTTTTAGATATATGCTGGTGAAGAGGAATAATGTTTAGAGAGATTACATCGTTCGACCAATCAGTTACAATAACACGTTGACACGTAAGTAAAAAAAGTGATATCAAATTGCCAATAAAAGTGAGATAAAACTAACACAAAGCTGACACATATGCTTTTGTGATTGCACGTGATTAACTTGGAATCATATATTAATTTCTCCTGTTTAAGTGGAGCACAAATTCAACTGATATAGAGTACTATGAAGTAAATTTGAATTCATTTACTCATTTTAATTTGAATATCTTTACTATTATCCAATCATATAAATTTAGATACAGAGCATGACGTGAATAGTCTTATATATTCAGATTTTCTTATATTTTATACCTATATGTGTTTGCGGATATATATTCCCTATATATTCTTCATAGTTCGCTGTATCGTCCGATACACGATCTGTATCGATCCATATATACTGATTTTATCTGAATCCGTTATATTGCAATCGATATCGCGACTGTAACCGATACGCGAGCCATACTATTCCCTTTATACCAAAATGAGTATTTCATTTGTAAACTAAATGTACTATTTTTTGAAATAACATTAGGAATAAATCATTCACCATTAATAAAATTATAAAAAGTAAAAATCATTCTCTTAAAAAATTTGATTAAAAAAAAGGAACACTTATTTAGACCGAAGGAGAGTTTCCTTTATATTAATGAACAGTCCAAAAGTATTCACTCTCTCTCTTTCTCTCTCTAAAAAAACAAAAGAGGGGTCATTTCATGGTTGGTTTTCAAAACTGACAACACGTGATGGGCAAGGGCGGAATCAGAAATTTGAGGTTGGGGGGCGGGATTTGTACTATGTAATTAAAGTTAGAAAATTTTGTACATTCATTATAAAAGTTCTTAAATTTGAGGTTTTAAAAATATAGTTAAAAGAGTCAAACTTGAAAAATTACTAAATTTTAAGATGACACAAACTAAATTTATTTTCAAATCCTCTATTTTGGGTCAATATAAATTTGTTTTCAAATCCTCTATTTTGGGTCAATATATATGTTTTGAATAAATTGGGAGGCAATTGAAATTTTTAGTGAATTTTATGGGCAAAACCTAGAAAATAATTAATATTTAGGGGTATAAATACAAATTTTAAGAAAGTTTAGGAGGCCATGGCCACTGCTGACCCACCCCTAGCTGTAAGGAAATAGTCTCTTCAAATACAAAGCAATGACAATTGAGATAAATCTCATTCTCCTAAGTTGAGATATTTTTCTTGTACTGTTGCGAATAATAGTAAAGGTTCTGTAAATTCGTGTGTGTTTTATTTTACATTATTGCAATTATATTTTATGTGTGAAAGTGTTTTACTTCTTGCGTGTGTAGACAGTGAGTATGAGTGACAGTTATTTTTATTTTTAACCTATTACCATCATAGGAACAAGAGATTTGTATTCAAAATGGACCCGTGACAAATGGGGTGGTTCACTTTTTAAGGGTCACTAGGTTTCATTGGTTTGCCACCAGGTTCTAGAAATGACATTGTTCTCCAAAATATTATTATTATTATTATTATTATTATTATTATTATTTTATTTTTTTATTTGACAGTTCTCCAAAGTTTCCTTAGTCAGCATTCAGCTGGTAGGAGTTGTCTCCGCATTTTCATTTTCAAGTCTTTCCTTCATTTGTTTTATTCCCTCAAATGTTGAGTTCTATGTGAATCAATCACTTGTAGAAACAAAGTCATTTTTACAGTCAAGGCTTGGAAAATTAATGGTGGCCACAAGAAAATGAAACCATTTGAATAATTGAATCTTCGATCATCACATACCTCGATGCCCATTAAGATTTATAGTTGTGGAAAGATTATTAAACTGTCCTGCATCGTTCACATTTGCTGATTTAGATTAATTTAGATTTTTATATTAAGAATTAAAAATGAACCCACGAAGTGAAAGACATTATAAAAGATTTGAATATTAATTCTGATTAAATTATACTAATAACTAAAAATCAACTAGTAATTTCTCATAACAATATACATCAAGGATCCATCTCGTTTTCTCTGTCTGACATGGTGAACGCAAAACTTTGTCCAGCTCTTTAAAGTCAATATTGGCATGCTAAAATCGCACGTGCCAGGACCACCTCTTTCACACGCGTGGCATGCAACCAAACGAAGCCTTAACCACGGTGTTTGCACGGTTGCTGCCACCCATACTCAAAGCCCTAATCAGCCCCCTCAAACCCTTCCACCTCCTCCAACCACCACTCGCCTTCTCACCACCACTATCCGATCGAAACATCGTCGAAGGACCGCGCCGATACTGCCTGTTCCTCATATCACCCAATTCCATCTCCGTCGGAAACCTTGCAAACCCGAACATAAACAAGTACCACCTACACTTTGCCGCCGGCGCCGGCGCCCCCGACACCCTTCGGACCGAAACACCATACTTCCCGGAACCATAAGTATATTTCTCCGACACCGGCGATGATGAGAAAGACTTACTTGATGAGCTGGAAACATAAAATAATTTGGACTCATTTTTCTGGTTGCATGGATCGGTTTTAGCTTTGTTGAACGAACCCGATTGCCACCGGAAAAGGCCTCGCCTTTTCGGGTTTTTGTGTTTGGTGGTTTCGAGATTGTGGGTGTGAATGGACACTGGTTGTTTGTAAGGAATGAGCTTTCCACAGAAAACAACGTTTTTGTTGTCAAGTGGATAAGTAGTAGTAGGAGTACTCCATTCTTCACTGAAGAACTCGAAGTAGTCTTGATCGGAGGAGGAGAATGATGAACTTTGGTATTCTTTGGAGAAGTTCTCGGACTCGGCTGCGCCGCTGTATATTGGAAGATCACAAAGAGAGAGTGTTTCTTCTGCTTCTTCATGATCATCTAAGCCCTGCATGATAGGGTTAGGGTTTTGATGGTCCATTAGTGAGTCTTGGGAGGACTCCTTGGCAACCATTGATGGACAATAAGAACTTGCGCTGCTAAGAAATTAATGGGTTGTTAGGGAGAGACTGTTTGTAGAAGGAAGTGGGTTGTTTGGGATTACTTGAAGCACACCATATATATATAGGGCTATATATGTATATGATAAGAGAGAGAAAATATGTTGTGTGATGAGGGGCTGGTTGATGGCTTGATGGGCATGGCTTCTAGATGAATTCATAGAAATAAAAAAGAAATGGAGTCAAAGAGAGGATGATTCTCTTTTGGCCCCTAGAAGAGCAGGTGGGTGGTCAAAAGGGAGAAAGGCTGTAATGGAATCTCACAATCTCATCTCTCTTTTTGTATGTGTGTGTGTGTATATATATATACACACTTTAATATGTTTGTTGTTGGTCTATCTATTTTGATTATAAAAAAAAACTGCTTAGCCCTATTGATGTACATGTCGTGTTGATTGAATTAGTTAAGCTAGGTTGCATAAATTAATTAAGCTATATTTACATTGACACGTAACTTTCATAAGCACATAATATTTTAAGAACAATATTTAGCTACTCACCGGTAAGTAGGGTGAAGCTACTCACCCCTATATGGTCCAATAACAAAATAACACATTACCTTTAATAATTAAATAATTCACATCTAAAAATATTATATACGTTTATTCAATGATTGATCCGAGAAAATAGAAAAAGATGTGAATTATTTTATTGTTAAAGCTGATATGTTATTTTGTTATTGGACCATATAAGAGTGAGTAGCTTCACTTTATTCACTGGTGAGTAGCTAAGTATTATTCATATTTTAATACCAAAACAAATATTTTTTTATTTTTAAATAAATGTCTCTTTTAAAAATTTATAATTCATAAATTGTTTATTTAAAAGAATCTGTCCATTCATAATCATAATAAATATGATCAAATATATTCAAATAAGATACTAAGGAAGGGACAAACATTTATTATACTATAAAATAGATGAAATGGAAATGGTTTCTAAACAACCTAAAAGATAACAGTTTGTTTCCTAACGGATTTTAAAAAATAAATAAAAACTCGTCTGGATCCGATAATAAAAGAAAAATGAATCAATATTTTAGCCTTTCCTCTTTGCAGATGGTGAAGATTGGACCAGTATTTTATTTTATTTTTTTTATGTTAGCCTTTGTAGGCTTGTATAGGGAAAGCTAAAATGCATTTTTCTTGGGCGCCACGTGCTGACTGTCCACCATTAGTCGACGACTTATCGGAGAGACGTAGAAGTGGAGGCTAGTAACCTTTTTATTTTTATTTCTCTTTCTCTTTCTCCTTCTCCGGGACTTGGTTCTAGATCTGGGTCCCACCTTGCTTCTTTCTTTCGGCCTTCATTTACTGCCACGTGGCAGTGCGTAGGCCCCACTTTTTTCAATAGACTTTCCTTTTGAAGCTTGTCGATTTGTGCACCGGCCCGAATCATACGGTCCGCACTGGAATTTAGAGCCCATTTTGCCATTCATTTCTAGTCATATTAATGACAATTAGAAGTTTGAACTGTCATTTATGAAATAAGAAAATAAATTCTCCTTTTGAAAATGTTGTGAAAATAAATATATATGAATCGGTATAAATTATTTTTTTTAATAAAACTTACTTCGTTCAAAATAAAAGCAAATTTAAATTTGTCTCCCAATTTTGTAATCAAGCATTCCACGTTAATGAGACTAGCATTGATAACAATCTTTTTAAAATAAGTAATCTTGAAATTTTAAACATAATATTCATCCAAGAAAAATAAAAACTGTGGACCCATTTTACCTTGTCACACACAAATTCAAAGATCATGGTTCTACTAAGGTTTTTTTTTTTTTTTAAGTAAGACTGTTACTCTTGAAGTTCATTTAATGTTACTCTTGAAATTTAAGTGCATTGATGATCAATATGGTTGAACAATTCAAAATTGTATAAGAAACGATAAGACTATAGCTAAGGTTGATTAATTCAATTGTCAAGAGAGCCTAACTAATTCATCTCCAATGGTCCCGTTGTATAACCTTAATTTTGCAAGAATATTTGGAGCAAATTTTCAACCCTAATCCATATAATAGTAGAGAATATATGGTTGATTGGAAAACATATATTTTTAAGGGTTAATTTCATAAAATCCTCACCACTTTTAAATTTTGATCATAAACCCCCAACCTATTTTAGAAAACCTCCTACATTTTAAAATTTGATCAAATTGCCCCAGTATCCTTGTCCGACCAGTTGACCTGGTTGTGAAATGATAAATTTGACCTTATTTTTAAATGTTAAATTAAAAATTATTATTATTAAATTACAAAAATACCCTTTTCTTACTATTCATCTTCTTTACTTTTGTTGTCGCCGATAGCTATACTGCCAATAGGAAAAAGGGTTAGCAGGTCACTACCGAAGTCTTTACTTCGACGTTGAATTGCCGGTCTAAACAGAAAATTGGTTGCTGCACAAGGCAACGACCTGGAACCATGAATTGACCCAAATCACACAAATCACGGACAAAATTCACAAATCACACAATTCATAAACAAAATTCATTCACAAATCACAGACAAATTTCAAAATAAATAAATATGGGTTTGCGAAATCTCCAGTCGCAAGAGGAAACACAGTAACACTAGTCTTCACTGTCGATCAGGAGCACTATCCACCAATCCTCTGGATCACCATGGATGGCGTCGAACTCCATCTTTCGTGCCCAGATCGAGGAATAGCTGACCCAAATGTTCAAGAAATTCAACGTGAACTGCGACGACAAGATCTCATTGTTGGAGCTCGGCGTAATAATGGGCAGTTTAGGCAATGACACCACCTTGGAGGAGTTGGACATGATGATCTGAAAGGTGGACACTGACGGCAATGGGTTCATTTACCTGAACTAGTTCCTCGAGCTGAACACGAAGGACATCGACGAATGTCGGTAAAGTGCTGGAGTATCTGAAGAAGGTGTTCTCTGTGTTCGACATGGACAAAAATGAATCGATCCCGGCATAGGAGTTGCAGAACATGATGAAAAACATTGGAGATGTTCATAAAACCCCCTTGCTCGCTAATGGTGTGGTCTTCGGCAAACACCACACCCTCCACAACAATTCCATTAAACAATCACCAACTGTCAAAGCCAATTTTGTTTGAAAACCATAGACAAGTTGTTTGGCCAGTAAAAAGCGGTCGGTTCCGATGGAACCAGATGGTCGTGCCAGGAACTGCAGTAGTTCTGAAGAGAGATCCAAACAATATTCTAGATGAAAGACTGCGAGACCAAGTGATTGTGAAGAGGGCTGTAATGAACACCTCTAAGTTCTTTTTGCCTTTGATAAAGAATTTTGGGATAGTTAACTGGTTAGGAAGAACTACGTTACTTATGAAAGTAAATGAATTATCTAATGAAAAGTAAAGTGCAGGACTAAGACTAATCATATTGAAAGTGCATTGCAATGAAAAGAAAAATTGTATTGAAATGCTGAGTTTGGCGTTGAGTAGACCTATTACGTTACAACATAACCTATTTATAGAATGAAAATATAAGTAGTTAACATAACAATTCTGAGCAGTTCCATTGATGCATCCAAATGCTTCCAAGTGTCCAAGCCATGTAATCGTTCCTTTGATTCTTCTTAGAACTTCCATGTTCCAAACATATAATCGAGCTTTGATTCTTCTGGAACTTCACGTTCTAATCATGTAATCGTGCCTTGATTCCTCTGGAACTTTACGTTCCAATCATGTAATCGTGCCTTTGATGCCGTTATCTCCCAAACAAATTGCACGACTTCTTTTGTCTGAGCAATGGCCATTACTCCTTTTTTCAGGATGGTGGTAGTAGTGGCCCACGTTAAAACGGTTAGAGCTTTGTTGTATCGTGGTTTTTGAAGAAAACCAACTTCCACATTTTAAGAACTCTAATTTCCACGTCTAAAACTCTAATAATTGACACGTTCCTTTGACCAAGTCATATCCCTTATGTGGTTTTTCCTATGATAGAAATTCCTTCCACGTGTATACTTTTCCATGGGCGAAAATAAGGGTGTAAACATTACCCCCCAAATTTGACGTGCCTGATATTCTTTGAAGAATCGTAAGGCATATCAAATTTTAGATGTGAGTGAGAATTTTCCATGTGATATTCGTCCAATTTTGTTGCCCCCGGGGTCTGGAGATTTACGAGAACGACGCATTTGTACATCTTTTGGCCAAATACATAGTTAATTGGTCAAGTTTTGTCCCCCAAAAATCACAAGATGTGAATTTGGGATAAATAAAGTACTAGCATTTCTTTCTAAAATTAGAAGAAAAATACTATAACCGTTATATTCTTCAGGTGGAAGAATATACAACGATTAAGGAGCTTGTGCCGTTTCTGAAGGAAAATCTAACTGTGGAAAATATTCTTAAAATGGAAGAAGTGGTAACGGCTTCCTATGGAAAGGTTTGTCGACCTTCCTCATGGCCATGCCACAGTCTTACTGGGAGAAGTCAGCAAGTTGGTTTGTATTTTCTGGCCAACCTTTGAGTAGGTTGGCCATTGGATGCCCCCCAAACACCACTAGAATTGGGTTTGGGTTTGCCAAAGGAATACTCCTCCGGCGATAAAGAGATTTCCTTTGAGGGCGTTGCGTTTCGAATGCCATTGGAAAGACCATAAGTGGCCTTCATGGTGTGTTTGTAGGTTGCTAAATGTTCGAAAGTGGAACATTTTGTTGGACCTGAGATTGAAGTTGCTGGATTGCTGCTGGTGGAGGGTTCTGCACCTCAGTTGGAACCTACACCTGCAATGGAAGTGATTGAGCTACTACTGGTGGAATCGACTTCGCTGTTGCTGAAGGGTTCTGCACCTTAGGTGGAACCTGCATCTGCGATAGAATTAGTGGTGGAATCGACTTCACTACTGGCGGAATCGACTTCACTGTTGGTGGAATCGACACCATAGGTTGGGGTAATGAATTTGTAGTTTCTGGCCAACCTTTGGGTAAGTTGGCCATTGGATACCCCCC